CTGTGCAGTACTCAGATGTGACTCCAACTCTTGCCTGTCTCTTTGTAATGAAGTGCCTGAGGTTTTTCTAGGAGTCAGAGCTTCTGTTTTTTTATCGCCTTTTATTTACTATTTTCTCCTAATGTGCTGAGCCTAGGGATTGCCTGTTTTTATGTGTTGAGAGGAAATGTAATATACTAACTAAGAACACAGGGTTTGGAGCCAGACTCAGACCTTAATTCTCCAGTCTACTGGCCATTTGACCTTGGGCAAGGTAGCTAACTTCTCTGTGCCCTAATTTTAGAATGGGGCTCTAAAATACCTACCTCATAGGTTTGCTATAAAATGTGGTTATATATGTTAGGTGATTATGACTGTGCCTGGTGCCTGTCAAGAGCTATGTAAGCATTTTTAAAAATAAAATGAAAGCTTAAATGCATAGTATACTAAAATGTCCTTGGAGGTTTTATAATGTGAAGTGAAAGTGTTAGGCTGAAGATTTATGATATTTATATAAATCCAACCATTAGCCTTTTTTCCTACAAAATGATCAACCCCTTGATTTTTTAATTTTCCAGGAATGGGGTGAGAGGGATTAGAATTACAACAGATTGGATTATTAGATTAGAAAACAAAAACTCAGGACACAGACCTGGATCTTGTCATTTATCAGCCACATTACCTTTAGAAAATCATTTTCCCATTTTGGGCTTCGGTTTTCCTACTTGTAAAACAAGAATGCTGAACGAGATAATTTTTATGGCTGTGCCAAGTTGACACTCTGAAACAGCATCACAAACTGAGGCAGAAACCTTTACCCCAGAGACCCAAGAGTTTGTCACCATCTCTTAAGCTGAAGTTTTTTGAAATGTGGGATGATGCTAGATGGGACACATGTACAACTTCAAAGCACACTGGATCACGGAGTGGGGAAGTTGAGCCATTTCAGTTCTCTGTCAAACCTGCAGATTACATCAAAGAGAAAGTTTCGGTTTGGTGCTAGCATGCCTTTAACGCCTCTTGAACACTTGCTAATTTACTGTATTTCAACATGAGAGAGGCATGGAGGTTTGATCATTTAGCAGGCAACAGTGTCTGACTAGAATTTATTAACATTGTTTTTATCATATTTATTTTTATAGCTACCATTCTTCTGGAGGCATGCAATAGTGATTTTCTCTGGCGAATTTGATAAACATTTTGTTTTAGATTTTTTTTTTTCTTTTTTTGAGCTGGACTCTCCCTCTGTTGCCCAGGCTGGACTGCAGTGGTGCAATCTCGGCTCACTTCAACCTTCGTCTCCTGGGTTCAAGCAATTCTCTGGCCTCGTCCTCCTGAGTAGCTGAGATTACAGGCGGCCGCCACCACACCCAGCTAATTTTTGTATTTTTAGTAGAGATGGGGTTTCGCCATGTTGGCCAGGCTGGTTTCAAACTCCTGACTTGTGATCCACCTGCCTCAGCCTCCCAAAGTGCTGGGATTACAGATGTGAGCCACCGCGCCCGGCCTTGTTTTCTATTTTTAAGTTAAAAATAATGATTTGATTCAAATAACATGTTAAGTAGATATAATAATATATGAACATTACTATAAAGTTGGCTTTCTGATGCCAGAATTGTGGGAAGCCCTGTCTTAAGCAAGGATACAGTATGCAGATTCCCTTCGTAAAAAAAGCACAGTGGCTTTCGCCCTTTCTGGTAGGGGAAAGATAGGCTAATGCCATGTTCTATGGCCTGCAGGAAAACAAAATTATGTTTGCAGGCCTGCCTTTTTGGAAGGCAAGACCAAGCATTCCAGGCAATGTCAGATGGCTGCTGTCATGTTTAGCTCTTCTCTCTCGGCCTTTGTCTCTCACTAGATGAGTTTAAATCGTTTATGAAGCGCCTCCCCAGCAACCACTTCCTGACCATCGGGAGCATCCATCAGCACTGGGGCAATGACTGGGACCTGCAGAACCGCTACAAGCTCCTGCAGAGTGCCACAGAAGCACAGAGACAAAAGATCCAACGCACTGCCCGCAAGCTTTTCGGCCTCAGTGTACGCTGTCGCCACAATCCCAACCACCAGCTGCCTAGAGAGAGGTAAGTGCTGCCGCCACCTCCACCTCTGCAGGCACCGACCTGGCGCTAGTGTACATCATCTTGCTGCCGAGTGAAATGCAGTGTAGATGGTGCATTTGCGGGGTGGCAAGCAGGACCTTGCATGGTCCAGACCAACAAGTTTCTGGATCACCTCTGGCTTCTCACCTACTGGCTCTGGCTACAACAGTCTCCACATTGTTTCCTGAATATACCATGAATTTTCAGCCTTTGTGTTCTGTCTGATACATCTTACTGAGAAAGGGAATTAACACTAGCTCTGATGGCTATAAGGCATTAACCTGCTGTTTAAAATATATTTTCTATTTAATTTTTAAACTACTGAGCAAAACCGATTTTAGCATCTCCACCATAATGGTGAAGAACCTGGATTAACTAATTAATCAATCACTGCCTTATTTATTGAGGTCCCTTGATCAGAGCCTGGAGTGAGTGACACAGATAAGATACCTTAGTACAAAATGTGAGGAGACACTCACTTGTGGGGTCATTGAGTGCAGGGTCCTCACCTGAGAGAGTGTCACCTTCAGTGCCAGGCTATCTTGCTGCTGAGTCAGAGGTAATGCTGCTGTTCCCTCCATAAAGTCTTCCTTTAGTCCCAGTCCTGCCCTGGATATACCGAGTATCTGCCAGATGGTGGAAAATACAGAGATGGACAAGATGGAGAGGGCCCACATAGCCATGGAATTAGGGTTTCCTAACTCTCTCAGGGGCACATAGGGAAGGAGCCAGGATTTGGATCCAGGTTTTTCAGACTCCACTCTTCCAGGGCATTTCTGATCTGCAGCTGATCTTTAGAGGTGCCTCCAGGGTTTCTGAAAGGGCATCACAGGACAGCTAAAAGGGCAGGGTGGGACTCTCCATCATGCTTCAGACAAAGCAGCTCTGTTATTATTTCTTGCATGTTTGGGGGTTCTACCTTCTATTTCGTTCTAAGAAAAATCCACTTTAAAAAGAATAAGCCCATTCACATTCACGCAGCATGCTCTGTGTCAGTCACACACACACACACACACACACACACACATATACACATATATACATACACATATATATATATACACACACACACACACATATATACATATATACATACACATATATATATGTGTGTGTGTATATATATGTGTGTGTGTGTATGTGTGTGTGTGTGTATGTGTGTATATATATATATATATATATATATATATATATGATTGTTACTCTGTTGTACAAATCAGGAAATGGAAGCTGAGAGAGGTAAAGTAGTTGGTCCAAACCTACAATGTAAATCAGTGGTTCTGGCTTGTAGGTGGTGTTTTCCCCAGGGGACATTTGAAAATATCTGAAGACAATTTTGATTATTATAAAAGGGGTAGAGGGTACTATTGCATAGGCAGTTCTCACAACAAAGAAGTATCTGACTTCAAAAGTTAGTGGTGTTTGGGCTTAGCAATTCTGATGTAAGAGAGACAAGATGCCACCAGTTTTAGGTTGGTGCAAAAGTCATGACAGTTTTTGTTAATGATTCAGCCTCTGTATTCTGTCTGATTCACCTGACTGAGGTGGGGAATTAACACTAGCTCAGATAGCTATGTGGTGTCATCCTAGCTGTTTAAAATATATTTACTATTTAATTTTTAAATTACTGAAATTTCTAATTAAATTTAAATTAAATCCTATTTAATTAAATTTCTATTTAATTTTTAAAATTTCTATTTAACTTTAAAATCACCATTTAAATTTAAAATTACTGGTTTTGCTAATGGCAAAAGGAATCACGAAGACTTTTGCACCAACCTAAATAAATCTGTAAGGCAAAATCTTCTCCTCCTAACCAGCCCGTTCTACTGGCACTCAAGATTTAACAACTGCAGTCTTCTAAAGCAGTCCCTCCACCTAATTAGCCCATTGTTGCATTCTTTTTTTTTTTTTCTCATTTTTCTTGAGTCAGAGCTAATGCTGCTGTTCCCTCCATAAAGTTTTCCCGATTGTACTGGCCAATATAGAAGGCTTCTTATTCTAGATTCCCACTAATCTAAAATCCTTTCCTTAGTCAGCGTATTTCTTTCTTTACCACCCTTATGAACCATCCTCCTTGTACAGATACTCATGCTTACCTCTGTTTTCCCCATTCCCTCCAAATTTGAGCCGACTGCTTTGCATCTAGTTTGTAATCATATTACTTCGTGGATTAAATAGAATTTCTTTTGCCAATTTCTTGTTGCAATGCTGCTGAACTAAGGACTAGAAAAGGTCACAAACTTGCTTTCTTGTCAAGTGCAACAGATGCACAGACTGCTACCACCAGCAAGTCTCTGAAGAAGCTTCCTTTAGATCCATCGCACATCTGCCATGAGACCCACATCGAGCACTGTGGGAAATTCAGAAACACACACAGGGAACAGTGCTGTGAAAGATGTCTTGTACAGCAGGAGTGGGGAGGGGTTCTTCTGTCAATCAGATCCCATATGTATTAGTGTGTGCGAGTTGCCGTAACTAAGTACCATGGAACCAGTTGCTTAAACAATGGAAATTTATTATCTCGTAGTTCTGGAGGCTGGAAGCCCAAGATCAAGCTGTCAGCAGGCTTGTTTTCTTCTGAGGCCCCTCTTTCTGGCTTGTGAATGGCTGTTTTCTCCCTGTGTCTCCATGCGGTCTTTCCTCTGTGTGCATCTGCGTCCTAAAAGCCTCTCTCTCTTTTATTTTTATAAATTAATTTTTAAAATTTATTTTGAGATGGAGTCTCACTTTGTGGCCCAGGCTGGGTGCAGTGGCACTGTTTCGGCTCACTGCAACCTCTGTCTCCCAAGTTCAAGCAATTCTCCTGCCTCAGCCTCTGCAGCAGCTGGGATTACAGGTGTGTACCACACACTCAGCTAATTTTTTTATTTTTAGTAGAGACAGGGTTTTGCAGGGTTGGCCAAGCTGGTCTTGAACTCTTGACCTCAGGTGATCCACCCACCTCAGCCTCCCAAAGTGCTGGAATTATAGGCATGAGCCACCTGCCCTAATATCCTCTCTTAAGAAGATGCCAGTCATGTTGGATTAGAGCTGACTTCAGTGATCTCATGTTAACTTAATTACCACTTTAAAGACCCTATCTCCAAATACAGTCACATTTTGAGGACCTGGGATCTAGGACTTTAACATATAAGTTTGGAGGGGTATATACTTCAGCCCATAATATTATAGGAGGTAGCTTTTGATCAGATCTTTAGGTGAAGAACCTGTGCATCCTAAGGAGCAACCAAGCTCCATGCAAACCTGGTTGAGGAGGGCAACGCTTAACCATTATGAGAATTCAAACAAATAACCTCTTTCAGTTATGGCGATTGTCACCTCAGACAATGGAAAGTAAGATCCAAGTTCCAAAGACACTGGGAAGGCATATTTGTTAAAGATGAGTAAACTCTCCAGAGACTGAGCATAATCAGATATGCCAGGTTCAGGGAAGACTCCAGAGGATTTTCAAAGGAGGGCAGCTGGATAGGCGTTACAAGGGAGGAAGGAGGGCAGCACTGGATAATAGGAGTAACACTGGGAAAAGTCAAGGAGTCTGAATTTACGTCCCACCATTAGTAAGCTGTGTGGCCTCAGGCAAGTCACTTCACCATGCTCAGTGTAGGTGTCTGCATCTTTGAATAAGTCTCTGTTCTCCTTTTGCAAGCTGTCAGGTGTAGATAGCTAAAAATGCTCTACCATCACTGGGACCTTCAAGGAAAGAGCTCACAGTGTTGCCCTCTCTCCTCCTAAGAGGAGAAAACCTGCCCTAATCTTAGTGTTCTTCTCACTTGGAGAGGATGTCTGGCATTCCACCATTGGTAGGTCACTCAATTATATTAGTTTGAAGAGTATTGAATGCTAGGTACTGAGGGGTAGGAGCACACAGACACTAGGCTCTTTGGCCAATTCCTCTGAAGCCTTCCCAGGAGAAATGAACTTCCTTGGCCTGGCTGTGGGCTGCTTCCTGACATCTGAATCTGAGGCTTTAATGAGCATTTCTCACACTGCAGGGCACCTCTCTGCCATGGAGCAGTGTCAGACAGAGGTGCTAACACTGGGAACCTTGGGCCACCTCTAGCTGAGCAAGCTGGTATTTGCAAATGAACTGATTGCTTGGTTTCAATATGCCTGCTTGCTGAAGTCTGTGGAAGATGAGTGTGCTGAGCAGGTGCCATTACTGCAGCAGGTGCCACAGAGATGTTTACTTGTTTCACAAACAGGTGGCATTGTTAAGGTAAGATGGGAGAGGGAAAGAGGGAACAAGCACAGGGCCATAGCCACACATGGATTGGTCCAGCTCCTGGCTCCATCACTTACCAGACACAGAGCTTTATATAAGGCCCTGCACCTCATTTGTGAAAGGGGATAATAACACTTGCCTTCAGGTTAAGTATGATGATTAAGATTTTAAAATTTAAATAGCCTTGGTAAAGTGCCTGAATCAGTTAAAAGGAAGGGAGGAAGGGAGAGAGTAAGAGACAGAAGGGAAGGAGCTGTCACTTAGTATATGTATTCTAAAGGTCAGGCACTGTTCTTTAGCATCTTATATGAGATTAACTAATTTCCTCCTCACTACAGTCTTATGAAGTGGTCCTGTTACTATTCCTATTTTACAGATAAAGGAACTGAGGCACAGAAAGGTTAATAATGTGCACAGGGTCAATGAATGTTGATTAATTTTTTGTTACTTCAAAGAAATGTTAAGATTTAGATTTAGTGAGAGGTCAACTATAGCTAATTAAAACTTGGCTTCAATGCTTGCTAAAAACGTAATATTGGCTGGAAGGCAAAAACAGTATGTTGGCTGTCTATTGGTGTAAAACAATTCACCCCAAAATGTAGTGGCTCAAAATAACACTATGTTATTGTCTCTTATGAATGTGTATCTTGACTTGATACAGCTGAGATGTCTCAAGCTGGCTGGGGCTCTTGTCATCTGGGGACTTGACTGGGCTGCATCTCCAAAATGACACGCTCTCAGAGCCAGTTGATGTTGGCTGCCAGCTGGGGGCTCAGCTGGGTCTGTCACTGGAGTGCCCACACAGGACCTCTCCGTGGGGACTGGACTTTTTGCAGCATGGCAGCTGCGTTCAGAGAGGGAGTGTTCTGAGACCAAAGGCAAGCCTTAAGACTTTTTCACAGCTTAGCCTTGGAAGTTGGAGAGCGTCATTTCCACCACATTCTGTTGGCTAAAATCCTAACCTAGGTTCACGGGCGTGAATATTTGGAGGTGCAGTTCATTATGGGGGCTGGGGACGTATATTTTAGAGACGAGGCACAATAGAAATTGAGTAGAATTGGAGCTAGAGGTGACTATCTTGGACATAGGGGACATAAGATTAATAATAATAACAATAATGAAGCAGTAATAGCTACTTACTGAGCAGATAGTATAATAAGCAATAGAGTCAGCTAAAGATTCTGGAGTTAGGCCACCTTGGTTCAAATCCCAACTTTGTTAGCCAGTTACATTGTAAGCCTGGAGGAAGTTACTGAAACCTTTGAGCCTCAATTTTCTTATCTGTAAAATGGAGCTGATAATAGTGCCTACATCAGAAGGTTGTTTTCAGGATTAAATGCTTTCACCTACATAAATTGCTTAGGACAGTGATTAGCACATGGACAGCACTCAATACATGTTGGGTATTGTCCTCCTTCGTTTTTTCCCCCAAGCACTGATATTTGGCATATAAATTTCTTGGCACTCAGTAGTTAGTTACCCAGTGAGATTGAGCATTGGTGACATGTATTTTTTATCTAATACTCATCCCATCTCTGTGAAGTAGATGCTATTGGATCATTTATAGGTTAGGAAACTGATGAGGCAGGTGTGATTAATTCATCCAAGGTCACATGGGCAGGTCAGGACAGATTAGATTTATTTTGCTGATTTTACTGTTGGACTTGATGGTCACAGTCACTGTGCAGAGCAGCAAGAACCCATGTTATTTAAGCAGTGTACAGTGGCAGATAGGTGGCTGTGCTGTGTTTGGGGCACCCTGGTTTAGTGTGTGGTAAAAGGCAGGGTTTGCTCATCAAGGTTGAGGGTAGTAGATGACGATTGAAACATGTAGACTCTAGTGTGCTGAGATGCAGGAAATGTCCCTGAACATGGAGCCCTGAATTAACTCTCAAGCCCAAGCAGAAACCCAGGAAGACATATTCCCTGTAGGTAACTAGAAGAGGCCTGTCTCAGTGCAGTACAACTCAGTATACATTTCCTGAGAGCGTACTATGTGGCAGGCTTTAGAAGCACAAACGTAAGTAAGATTCATCCCATTCCAAGGCCCAGTGCTTGCTAAGAGGAGAGCAGCAAGATAACTCCAGACCATATCCATAGATGGGAGTTCAACACTTGACCAAATGTTTATTGGGTGATCATTATGTATTAGGTTCTGTTTGAGAGTCTGGGGATACTGTGATGGATTTCTGTTAGCCCACAGGAGAGCTGGCCCTAGTGTCAGACTGCAGCTGGACATATCAAGGGAAGGCAGGGACCCACAGTAAGATTCCTGTGGCTTGTCTTGTCACCAGGAGATCCTTACACTATGTAGAGTTAAAAAGGGAAAGATGGACTTTAAGTTTGGTCTCAGGTATTACTGGACACTGAGACTTTTTAAGCCTTGGCTTTATCACCTATAAAATGGGTATAATAATTTCTGATTGCCTGCCTCAGAGGGCCACTAGGGGGCTCACCAGGGGTCGTGTATACATTTGTGAACTCTGAATGCTCTAGAAAGGGGGCTAGGCAATCGGGGTGAACTTGAAGCCAAACTCATCAAGAAGGGAATGGGGCTGAGTTCAGGTTCATGGCGACATTTCATAGTTAACACTTCTAAAGCATTTACCATGCACCGGCCACTGTCATATGGCTTTTATCTTATTTAATCACTGTAACAACCCTGTGAGGTACCACTAATTTATCCCACTTTATGAATAGAGAAATTAAGGCATAGAGATGTTAAATGACTTGCTGATGATTGAATAGCAGGTAGAAGACAGGTTCAAGCCCAGCAGAATCCCTTCTTGTTACTCCTATGCTCTTCTACCTATCCCCGAGGCAAGATGATCCAAGGTGTTTAGATGACCTACCAAGACTAAAAACTGCATTGCATAGTGGTGGAAATTGCCTGTCATTGCAAAAGGCAGATGAAGGAAGGGAGGGAGGCAGGAGAGAAGAGGAAGAAAAAAAGGAATAGAGGCGGCATAAGGTAGAAAGGAAGGGAGGGAGGAAGAAAAGAAGCACAGAGTCATCTTGGGCACAGCTGAATTTAGCTGGTTCCTGTGCAATAACTTGAATGTTTACTCACCACCTGATCTTCCAATCTTGTGTCAGCCACTGGAAGGCATTTAAAGATACAAACAGCTGTGCCTTGGTCCTCAAACCATCATTATCGAGGCTCCAGGTGTGCTGAAAAGTGAAAAGACATTGTTTTGTGAAGCCAGAGACCTGAGTTCAAGTCTTATTCTGCCCTTTGTGAGAGCACTGGGTATAGAAATCCTGCCTTGCAGAGGTGGGGTGCAGGTTGAATAGTGAACAATTGTACCTCACCTTTAACTGGGGCAGCTCTTCAGTGGTTTTCTTTATGGAAATTCTGAATTAAAATTCATTCGAGAACCCAAGGTGATTTTTTTCTTTCTTTCTTTATTTTTTGCTAAAACAAAAACAACAAGGCTCAATTATCTCTGAGGTCCTTCCCAACTCTAAGAGACATAACATTTACAGAGAATGAGAGTAACAGTTCAATTCTAGAATATTGGTAGAAGGTCAGTAATCCAATCTTTGAGCAGCATTTCAGATGATACTAATTAGTCAATTTTAATAAGTAGCCTAAAGTTCAAATTAAAATCTTCTTTTGCCTGAAATTACAGTGTCCTTTTAATTAAGTTTCCCAGAATCTACTTTGGTCACTTTGCAATCTGTGTTCCATGGCAGTCAGAATTATCACTTAGGAAGCAAATTCAATCTTGTTCCATCCCTGTTTAAAACTTTTTGGTTACTGCTTTTAGGAGAAAAAAGAAAATCCTAAGGTGGCCTACAGATCTGCTAGGATCTGGTTCCTGCCTCCTCCTTGGCTGGGTTCCACAGCATTTCTTGGCTCTCTCAGTGACAGGACAGTTCTGCTAATTTTCTTTGAGTTCTCTAAATGCCTAATTCCACCCCTCCCCCAAGCCTTTCATTTCAAAGGCTTCACCCGGGCTATTCCTTCTGCTTGAACATGCCTTCCTTTTTTGTTTTTTGTTCTTCACTGTGGTAGCTTTTACCTACCTGCCCTTCACACATCAGCTCAAATATTCCTCAAGAACATGGTCCCCACATTGAAAGGCTGTTTTAGGACTTGTTTATATGCTTCCTTATCATTTTAATTTTCTAATTGAACCCAAATCCCAGTTTACCAGTATATCTTTTTTTTTTTTTTTTAAAACAGCGTCTTGCCTTGTCACCCAGGCTGAAGCACAATGGTATGATCATAGCTCACTGTAGCCTCAAACTCCTGGGCTTAAATGATCATCTGCCTCAACCTCCCAGGAATCTGGGACTACAGGTGCACACAACCATACCTGGCTAGTTTTTTCTAATTTTTTTGTATAGGCAAAACCTCACTATGTTGTCCGTGTTTGTCTCAAACTTGTGGACTCAAGCAATATTCCCTCCTTAGTCTCTCTGAGCCACTGCACCTGACTACCATTTTCCCTTTTGAAATCTATCTGTTAGTGCCTATCTCTCCCATGAGACTATTAGCTCGCTCATACTTTTTTATATTCTTCATAACTTTGTTCTTATAACTTTCTACCACACTACCTGACACACAGTAGCTATTCAAAAAACTTTGATCAGTGAACAGACACATAAGTTATTTGCTTCTTAGAATGTGCCACAAGGCATATTGACGTAATCTTCTGCAAACTGAGTTTCATGATCATATATAAAGTATATGTACTTTCTACATATGTTGAATATATTTAGATTATCTTCCTCATTCACAAATGAAGAAACTAAGATCAAAGGGAGTTAAGTGGCTTTTCCAGAGTCACTCAGGGAATTAGTGAACAGATCATAACTAAACTTCAGACCAGTAGACTGACAGTCCAGACAGGTTGGTAAAATCGAAACTGCAAACGGCAATTGTCTTCAACTGACCCGAATGCAAATCCCAAAGTTACCACTTGTTAATTCTATTACTTTGGGAAATGTTCTTTACTTGGGGGGGAAAAAAAAAAGAAAAACAGATACTAATCAATGTAATGAAATGAAGTAAAACTCCTAGCATCAAGTAGTACTTAAGGTCAGTGTGATTTGATACTTCTTCCTTACATCTGGCTATCGTCTGTTTTTTTTTTTTTTTTAATTTAAGATTATTGTGAGGCAAACAAGATCCATGGAAGCTTAACTTGAGGGTAGACAGTAGAATTATTCTGATGATGCTTGGTCTTTGATTTATTTTTACTTCTCAAATTCACATGGCCTTGACCCAGCAGTCTGAGCCTCAGCCAAGCACAATGTAATTATGCATTGTTGAGATGAAAATCTCTTGGGGGCATCAACCTCAGGCTCTGAAGCTGGGGCCTTAGCTTCTGAACCCATGTCAGCTTTTAACATATTTCCTTCTCCATACAGTGTTTAATTGGTGTCTATAGAAAGACTCTGGCTACCAAGATAATCGTTATCTCTATTCTGATGACCCTCAATATTCACACTGATTTTGATTCTTCTCTCTGAACCCTGTACTTACTTGCCTTTGGATTTAATCTCCATAGACTCCTGCAGTGGGGCAGAGGGATATGGCTTCCTATATTTTATTGAACTCAAGTCAGTTTCAGTTTATTAGACTGACAGTCCCGTCTTTGTTATTCATTAGATGTCTGACCTCCAAAAGTCTCCAAACCTACCAGAGCCCTCTGATTCCCCATCTGTATTGTTAGGATAATAAGAAAGACTACCCCACAGAGTTGTTGCCCTAGTCAATTTGTATGATATATGTGAAAATTCTTCATAACTTGTAAAGAAATACACAGATATAATATTAATATATTCAAAGCCAGGCGCAGTGTCTCATGCCTATAATCCCAACACTTTGGGAGGCCGAGGCAGGTGGATCACTTGAGGCTAGGAGTTAAAAACCAGCCTGGGCAACATGGAGAAACCCTGTCTCTACGAAAAAAATACAAAAATTAGCCCAGTGTGTTGGTGCACACCTGTAATCCTAGATACTCAGGAGGCTGAGGCATGATAATTGCTTGAGCCTTGGAGACAGAGGTTGCAAGGTTGCAATGAACCAAAATCACGCTGCTACACTTGAGCCTGGGCAGCAGAGCAAGACTTTGTTTCAAAAAAAAAAAAACCTTAATATATTCAAGAGCACAGCAGTAGTAGACCCTAGATATTTGATGATAACACTTTCTATTTCCAAGAAATGGATGCTCCTGTTGTGTAAAATAAAGCATGAGCCTAACAAACAAAATGTCATCATATAATAAACAAAATAAGAAGCTCAGGACTTCAGACTCTCTAGTCTGACAGACCAAAGTGTGTGACCATCATTTACTGTTGATAATACTCAGCATAGTATTAAGGTGTTCAAGCTTCAGTTTTCTACTTAGCGTGATGGAGAGAAAAATAGTAGCCAGCCTTGGAGAACCAATAATAAAACATAGATGCCAGGGTTAGCACACAGTAAAATGGCCAAGCATGTGGCTCTTTATTGGACAAAACTGGAGATCAGTAGTTTGTTGGTTAATTTAAAAAGTGAAGTTAAACTAGGAAATCCTAAAATGTATACATGCTATACATATATGAACCATTTTGTTTTAATTTAAAAACATGTAAATGCACATTTCTTGGCCAGCCTCTTGAAGTAAAGCCAAAATCTTTTTTGAAGGTAGTGGTATATTCTATTTAACATTTTACTGGTGTTCTTCCATAAACCATACCATAATTGCATAACATTTCAAACTTCGGTTTATTCAAAGTGGAGTAACAGCTTAGATTCTTAAAAAACAACTTAAATGTTTGTAGTTTTTTTGTTCCTTCCCCTTTATTTAAATCGATGGTCATTTTTGCCAATAACTGGTCTTTATAGAATTCAAATTAGTTTCCACAGAAAAAAAGCAATTCATATTTCATTGATTTATTTTAGTTTTAATTTACTTATTTTATAACTTTTTAGCTCTAAGATATAATAGTAGCAAATACAATGCGCATAAACTGGTTTGGGAATATACAAAACTGACTTTCAGCTCTTATACTTGTTACTTGGTGGAAATAGAAGCATGTGGAAGTGTAACCAACCAGACAAGAGTATTCAATGCACCATCAGCTCACACACCACATCTATCTGGTGGGAGGAAGAGTCGTTTTCCCACAATTACCTAATAGAGGTCAATTATGAGAGCTTATCCCACTTGACAGGGAAACTCTGATTCCTAGTAACTTGCCACTCTTACTGGAACGACCCACTCAAGATCATATATTATAGTAAGAAAAAAATGATGATAATAATGGTTGACACACACTGACCATTTATTATGTACCAGACACAGTTGTCAGTGCCTTATATATATTAATGTATGTAATCTTTACAACAACCCTATAAAAAAAGGTTCTACTATGCTTCCCATATTATAGACAGAGAGTTTGAGTAGCAAAGGGAAATGCTGCAAGAGGAGAGAACGAGAGAAATGCATTCCTGCTGGGGAGACTGGAAAAAATGCTTTCCTGTGTCTGGATTACTTTATTCATCCTTTAATTTTCAGGTGGATCCCTGATTTCTTAGGAATATTTGGCGCGACTCAGTGGACCAAGTTACGCCATCCTCTTATATGCCTTTACTGCAGCTTGTGTTTCATTTTTTTCTAGCATTTGCCATATTTGCAATGCTATGTTTAAGCCCAGATTTCTCCTCCTTGATCACAAATTCAGTGAAGGCAGGTAACTTGTTTTTCTTGCTAACTAGTGTATTCTCAGTGATCGATAAGGTGCCTGGAACACCACAACATAGCCTTTGCTGCACTGAAATGAGGGGACATTTCACATGGGAGCCGAGGGATGATTATGCTTTGTACTTGCAATGAAAAGAATGACTTACCATTCACTAAAACAATATGTACCTATGAAGAATAGAAGGTGGGATTAATTTTATCCAAAAATATCAAATCAGAAATAGGATATAGGTCAGGATTAAGTACCTAGGCCTTGGAACCAGAGAAGACTGAGGTTAAATCTTGGCAAGCAATGTGCTCAGTGTCCTTTGGCCTTAAGTGTCCTCATCTGCAAAATGAGGATAATATCTCCTCCACAGGGTTGTTGTAAGGATCACGCAAGATACATATTCACTATTCCTGGCATGTAGTAAGTGGTCAATAAATATTAGCACTTAGTGCAGTTGTCCTTATTGTTATTGAATAAGGTTAGACCTGTATGTTGGGAAATTATGGAGGGATTGAATACCTAGTGGTGGAGTTTGTATCTTGTCATTAAGGTGATGTGAAGCCAGAGGGAAAAATAATAGAAGGGACGCTGTGGCTTAGTAAAGGTTCTCTGGTAGCCATTAGAAAGATGAACTGGAGAATCAATGGAATCTCTCTGTTGGGTGTAAGAAGATTCAGTATTTCTCCCCTGTGCTGACATGATCTGTGGATGAAAGCACTGCTTCCCAAACTGGAATTAGCATCACAGTCAGCCAGAGTGCTTTCTGAACATAAGTTTCTGGGCCTAGTGTCTATTTTTGATTCAGTAGAACTGAGGTGGGTACTCTGTCCTGGGTGATACTGATGCCACTAGTCTAAGGGCCACACCAGACTTGGATTAAGTCTCTCTTCACTGCCTTAAACATGGTCGCACCTCTTTCTATGCACTTGGTAGAAACTAAGCAAAAATGAGTTCCACTAAGTGAATCCTATAGGACATTGAAAAAGAGGAAAATAAGGAAGTGGTGTCTGGGTTTGAATGAGTTTAGAAAATGTTGAATTAAAAAAAAAAAAAGCTAAATGAAGCAGAGGTCAGGTTTGCAGAT